CACACACACACACACACACACACACACACACACACACACACACACACACACACACACACACACACCGTCAACTTTGCTAAATTGCTAATGAAGAAACGCTGACCAGGCAGCTGTGATTGAGCAGCAATGTCCATCCAACTCTTTCCACGGCTGTTGTGGTTGTGATAATGTTGTGAGGCCACATCGAACAGACTCGGATGAGCTTGCCAAAGTTGGTCCAAGTTGGAAACTCGGGCCGATCCCTAAAACTGTCGCACGACTGAAAAATCGTCTCCAAATATCGCACAGTGTATGGCCAGCTTAATTTTCCGTCCATCGTTTGGGGGGCGCTGGAGGCTGTTCCAGCTGCTATGGGTGAAGGCAGGGGGACACCCTTGATGGGTCTCTCAAATTCACAGCTACGAGCAATTTAGATTCACCAATTAACCCCACTAGTGGGGGTTAGTGGACTTACGTATAAATGAAAAATTCTGAGTTTGCACAATCTCAGTATTTGTAAGACTCTTTCCTCTTTTAATGTGAGTTTTACTGTGTAACAAATGCATTACTATTGTCCCTTACCACCATTTCTCTTTTGAAAACTTCAGATTTACAGTATAGGCTTAATTATAAAAAGGAATTGTGGGATATGTGGTACTCAAACCGTACTAGACTAACACTAGCTCATTTGAACCCATAAAACAAAGCCTTACTATTTCTGTAGTATAAATAAAATGCACAAAATGTAATGTTTTTATCTGTAAAGGTTTTCCTTGAGACTTTAGCAGGAGCATCGAACAGCAAACTGGACTGCCTCATGCAGTTTATTATTGACAAACCGTGTATTTTCTCTGACAGGCGCTGGAGTCCCACAGTTTAAACCCATCCCCCTCAACTCAGGCTTTCGGATTGAAGTGTTGGTCAACGGCTCTCTGCTCATCAAGCACGTGCTGGAAGAAGACAGTGGTTTCTACCTGTGTAGAGTCAGCAATGACGTCGGGGCCGACGTGAGCAAGTCGATGTACCTCAACGTCAAAAGTAAGTCTGACAGGACGACAGCACCTATTAGAGCCAAAGAATGTAAATTTGGCATGTTTGGTTTTTGTCCTGTTGACTCTCCTCTTTCGTGCACCGGCTGCTGGTGCATTAAAACAAAAAGTTAAAGCTAAAGCACAAAGGTTAAGTGAGCTGAACTTCGACAGTCAGTCAGGCCACCAGAAAGATGTCACCACGGTTGCTTGCGCTGTGCTTTCTGCCTGAACGAATCCCACGAAAGCAACGCACACAGCCTCTACACCACATCTCTTGGAGAAAGTACAGCATTTATCTGCTGTGTGGCCAAGGATTTAGCTCCCCTCCATTAATCCCTGAATTCTGCATGCGAGCAAGAGCTGCCATGTGGAAAAGAGGGCTGTGGAATACAGCAAGGGAGGTTGGAAGAAGGAATAGGTTATCCACGTCTTTTCTCCTCATCTCTGTGTCCTATATGTCTTCTATCTTGTCTTTAGTTTAGTAAGTAGAAGAAAATGTTAACTATTTGCTGAGTTGTTTGTGTTCTTGTATAGATAATACACTTTTTAATAGGAATGCTGCCCTCTTGAGGTTGAAAGTCTGTTTAATAAACCATGAGAGCGCATAAATTATTCCAGCGCATCTTCTCAGAAAGAGAGATGTTGAAAGCAGCCTGCAGAAATGGTAGGAATGGTTTTAAGAGCTTCCTTCAAGGTGAAAACAACAACCTCAGAAATAATGTATATGTGAGTTTTACCAAAAAGTACAGTTACTTAACTTTAGCTGGTGATTGTGGATGTGTCCGTGGATGTGTGAGCTCCAACTGCTTTACTGCGGCTCAGCGCTCATTTTGATTGGTTGCTGTTAGATAAAGCTTTTGCCACCACGGCTCTTATCAAGCCCGAGCAGGGTATTCCCTGCTGAGTGTCTAACTGTCTGCCAGCCACAGCCAAATAGGCTCCAACTCCTTTATGACCCCCTCTGTCTGATTGAGGCCCACCATGTCACCTCATAGACAAGTGTGCTCAGAAGCACCAGCTCTCAGTGTAGCTGCGGTTTGGTGTCTTAGGCCATTAGAGTGTGAGTCACGGTTGAATTTTCTTATTGATACTTGAATCCTCACACCTCTGTGAAGTGTTGTGTCTTTAATTTATTTTTTAACACACGTTCCTCAGACCTCAGAGTTCTTGAACTTGGTAAAAATCTGAACCTTTAACTGTAACACAACTCCTTTATTGGGTGGCTGTAGCTCAGGCGGTAGAGCAGGTCATCCACTGATCAGAAGGTTGGTGGTTTGATTCCTGGCTTCCCCTAGTCTACATGCCAAATATCCTTGGGCAAGATACTAACCCCAAATTGCTCTCCGATGCATCCATCAGAGTATGAATGTGTGTGAATGTTAGCTATGAAGCACTTAGAAAGCTGTGCTTGGGTGAATGCACAAGTTGTGTAAAGTGCTTTGAGTACTCAGATGAGTAGAAAAGCGCTATGTAAGAACCAGTCCATTTCCTTTATCTCTCAAATGTCCTTAAATCATCAGCTGACAGGCTACTTTCTAAATAATCTTTCCCCTTTAGGTTTTCTGAAACTCTCAAAGCTCGGGACGTCATAAGATCATCATTTGCAAAGTGCGTGCTCTAGTCCAGTGTGTATCTTACAAGAGCATCGAGTTGTATAAGCAATATTACAGACTGATTATCATTATGATTAGTATATTGTGGATTTGACATTGATAACCACCAGAAACACCAGAGAAGTACAAGGAGGAAAAATCATTTGTTGACTGTAGCTTTCTCATTTACGCTTACACTTCACTTAAGCTTTGTCAAGCTAAACCTAACCGGTTTGTAGCATCGTAAACCCAATATCTCCAGGTTGTCAAACTGTGTGAAAAGGCAAAACCTTTATGGAAAAACCGTTGGATGTTGGATTAGATGGTGTATATGTTAGAAACTAACAAACAGTTAGTCTCTGCATTTGGATTACAACTTTGAGTTTCTAACACAGTACACAACCTAATCTCACTGGTTTGAACTCTTTATATAAACCACATTATTTATAACACGTGTCAAACACACTGCAAGATTTGGATTTTTATTTAACAGATTATTTGTCTTTGTCTTCTTTATGTCTGCAGCCCCTCAGGTGCATGCTGTGCTCCTGAAGCATCTGCCCGTTGTTGTGGTAGTTGTCCTGATTTGTGCCTCTTCTGTGCAGTAACCCAAATCTCCCCGCGTGCCAAGGGAGCCACACCTCATCCTCTATCCCGTGTGTGTCTGTGTGTGGACAATGAGCTCATTAACCCGTACAGTTTCTCTCTGTGCTTGACAGAGACGGTGCACCACAGTAATGCCTGAATCTGTGATGTCCTGTACACCGTGTGCTGCCTTTATGTTGTTTATTCAGACCAGCCTACACTAATTGAACAGTGGCAAGCACTTAAGAGGCTTAGGAGCCAATTTGAGAGGAGGCACACAATCTGACGCATGCTGGACCAGTCACGTGATGGACAGACGGCTTGATCTTCACTCACTATTATTGGCTTGATGCATTGGCAAACAATAGATTGAATGAGAAGCTTTAACATATGTAAGCATGGAAACATTTATGGTGAAGATGCTGTCAGTTTTGTGTGCGTGTGGGACACAGGTGAGCAAACAAGCTCATAAGCCCACACAAAGACAGAGATTTCACACAAAGGTGTGCACGCTTTACTGTAAAGGCACTGATACAGTGCAGAGCAGTGCAGCCATTACTAAAGAATAATGGGCCAGGCAGCTAATGCAGTGCTTGGGATAGATCCCACTCCACCAGGCTATTGTAGTGGACTGCCTGGGAAATGAATTGCATCTATTGTGATGTCTTTGCTTGGCACTTTCATTGTTATGAGTGTCTGTGCATAGGCTCATGTCTCGTCATAATACACCATGCATCATGCAGGATGAGCACCAACACTACACTAACAGCCAGCAGAAACTGCTCGCGCTCTCTGCCGGGGGAGAGCAAGTGTGTGCACATGCACTCTGTTTGTTTTTCTCTCATAGGCTTCCTTATTTGAGTAGTAATCACTTTTTGTCCTGTGTGAAAACTGGTTGCAGATGGCGGCTTGAATGAATGATTTTTATGTCATTTACAGTCAAGCATCTCTACCTACAAAACAGATGCTATTCAGTCAATTCATTACCAATCCACAACAGATGCTATCAGAGGCGGTCAACAGCCACTCGGTGTTTATCAGGGCCAATTAAAACCAATCAAGCCTGTTAGACATCATAATGCCTGCAGACGCAGTGATGAAGCTTCACTCGAGTGCAGTGCTAAATGGTCTTATGGTCGCGGAGCAGTCTCAAGCACAGAATCCTCTTAGGGCCGGGTTTTAAAGAGACTTTCATCTAAATCCAAAACAGTTTAGTTTTCTGCTGTCTTTGATCCGGAAATGAATCTTAAACAAAGACTTGTTTTTCAGTGAAGAAATAAATTCTTCTTTTTTAAAAAAGAAGCTTTGTACAGGATAAAAAGTCTGCAAGTAATTCTGAAAGTTCTCTTGATACCTTTTGGGACTCACCGCATCACTTCCTGTTGCTTTTACTCTCAACACAGTGCAAACCTGTAACAGACCTTGGAGGCTCAGGCTGGATTCACTGGGTAAACAGAAGCGGTCGACTGCAAGAACTGCAGTATATTTTCAGTGTATAAGAAAGTATGAGCCTTGTTTTGCACACTCCACTAGTCAGTGTTGGAAAGTTGTCTACTTTGCTGGATTTAAAGTAGTCAGCACTTTTTTTTTCTAAATGAATTTTAGAGAAATATTAAGCCCAGTTTAACCCTTGGACCAGTTAAAAGTGTGACTGTGAAACAAAGAAGTTTCCTTGACTCTCATTGTGTTTATTGAGCCTACTTGCACTAAGCCACTGTTCCAGTGTGCAGGCCTATATTTGCTATCATGCTTCACGTCCAAGCCAATTGTGCAGCTAAAGGAATTATTTCAGTACATTGCAGGCAGCCAGTGAACCAGTCATCACCGCAGCGCAATACCCCACGTCAAGGCTGCCTCTTCCCCAGCGCCCACTTACAGTGTGCCCTCAAGGCATAAAGCTAGATGCATCTCAGCTTGTCTTTTCTTGTCAGCCCTTGTGGCCCCATTGAGCCGGGGTGCCCTTTGGCTCACATTGGCCAGGCTGTAGAATGTAGACTAGCATCCCAGTGTTCACACCACGGAGGGATCCACAGCTTGTATTTGTGGAGAAGCCGGCTCACCGTAAGTCTTCTTGTTAATTCAAAGGTTTCACTTTTTAAAAGCAGCTATTACATCAATCACACAAGAGATGCTGTATACCAAGGAAAAAACGGATCGTCACCACGACTGATGCAAACAGTACCCTCCCAAGAGAAATTCACACCAGGATCCATACAGGAGAGGTGCCACTTTAATTATTACGGTGTGAATGAGAGGTGATCCCTGATAAGTGCAGCGCAAACACAGCAGTCAAACTTTTCTTAAAAGCCATTAACGATGGCATAGTTTTCTTTTTGCAGGATGTACAAAGTGAAGCTTGGTGTCCGTGTCCATTTTATTGTTATTAACAAATAAATAAATAAAAGTAATCCTGCTTCACCACCTCTCACATCTCATTGATCCTCTGAGACGGTGTGACTGCTTTCTTTCTTTGATCTCATATGAATAGCCCCACGCCGACGTAGCCATTCACCCATAATTTTATGTTAGTATTATTCTCCTGACTCCACCATTTGGCTAATTCTGTTTTCCACATCGCTAACACCAGCAGTTACAGGCATTAGAAACATTTTCTTTTTTTGTGTTGTCTTTTATTTCTGCATTGCGACATTCGGGGTGTGATTGTGTAATCATCATCATGCTCCCGTGGAAATCAATGGCAGGTCTGCGTTCTATTCCTGGCTACTACAAATGGCCCTATTTCTAAGAGTACAGACGAAGGAGAGAGCGCGAGAGAGAGAGGAGGCAGGCAAGGAGAGGAGAGGAGAGACTGTCCGATGCTGGTTGGCATGGTAACCTGGCCAGGTGAAAGGGAGCCTGGGAGAAGGGGGAGAGGGAGGGGGTGGGGTGCTTTTGTCTCAGGGGAGTAGCCTATCAGCAGCCAGCCTATCCCCCACAATCCCCTGCAGGCTTAAGCGTATCATCACTGCCCTCTGGGTTGCTGTGGAGGAACAGGGCTCTCCTCACCTCCACATAAAAGACACAATGTGCAGTGCAGTAAACATACACAACGCAGTCCACTGTTTCCTCTCTCGAATGCTCATGCCTTCCTTCAGCCTTCCTTGGCAACATGTCACATCTTACTGGTTCCTACTGGAGACCAGTACGTAAGCGGTTTTCCTGTGTGTGTGTTTGTGCATGACTCTAAGCTCTTTATGTGTGCTTGAGTTCATCATGTCATTGTGTGTTTGTTTTTGTTTAATGATATGTACAATCCGTCTTTTCCAGACATCTGCACGCACACCTCCAGTTATGTTTAGAGCTGAATTAAGCATCGGGGAGCCGGTGCTTTCTGACACCAGGAGATACCCTTTTCCCACCATCTGTCCTCTCATTCTCTTTTTCTTTCCTCCCTCTGTCCACACTCCTTCCCCTGGTTCTGTTTCCATAATTCTGCTGGATATTAAAGAAATATATCAACACAACAATTACGAGGCCATAAAATGAGCCTCGGGGCTGGCGCAGCTGGGCTGCTCACACACAGGGTTGTACACACATACATTTACATAGACACAAGCTGCATACGCCTCATCTCAGAGGCCTCTTCATGGTGCAGAGGCACTCCTGCTTTTAAAGAAATGTTTGCTTTTGTCTTTAATCTCAAATCAGGATTTCCTATTTCATTAATGTGGGAAAAAATAATAAAAAAATATATTATCCCAAAAATGGAACCTTTGGGGGGGTTGTTCCACAGTATTTGAAAATTTGAAAAGGCTGCCAAAAATTTCATCCAATGTTTTCTGTGCATTTCAAAGAGCAAATAAATGTAAATTTTCTTTGTCTGCTGTACCCAACTAAAGCACTGGTTTCTACTGGTGAGCCTCTCCGAGGTGGAGCAGCTGCTCTGATTATTTTTTGTTGGATCAAAAAACTTTAGGTTTAGCTTCTACAAAGACTGGTTTACATATACATTCATTAATTTTTTCCTCATTGGTTTCCTGTCACATCAGTTACTGTTGTTGCTTGGAAAACAGGAACTGCTACTGAGGCATTTAGGAAACATTTGTAAATTGGAACTACAAAAGAAAGAAAACCTGTAAAGGGCACAGCGATAGTTTGTGTACAAAAACCTGAGCTGCTTCTCGTGGCTTTTTTTTTTTTTACCTTGCTTCCAATGATCCGAAACTTTTTGGCATTTTTGTAAAGTGCTCTCGAGCGATAGTTCCCCCGGCTTTCTGACTGAAGGTCTTTCGATTCATGTTGGAGATCTTATCAAAACTGATGAAATTATAAATGCAGAAAAGTACCATCAGATTTTTATCCACCATGCAATACGATCTGGGAAGTAACAACTTCATTTTTCAGCATGGATCCAAACACACTGTCAATGCAATAAAAGCAAACCTGGATAGAACATCACACGATGAAAGACTGATAGTCATGGATTGGCCCCCCAGAGCTTGAACCGCAACATTATTGAAGTACATAGTCTTGACAGTTAATGGAACAGAATGCAGCCTTCTGTAGTGAACTTTCTAGTGTTTAAAAGCTGGATCCATGTCAGGAAAACATTATAAGTAAACTCTACCAATTCTGCTGCCGGTCAAATACACGGCCAGAATCATACCAGCGGCTCGTTGATGGCTACCAAAACCATCTGGTCGAACTTGCTAAGGGACACTTAATCATATATTAGTGGTGCATGTATATATTTGAGCCTGAATGTCTCATTTTTGATTAGTGGAAATCCAAAACAAATTTAAAGTTGAGCACCCAGAAGACATCGTTAAAAGCCCCAAATTACTGTTACAGTCCTGCCCATGATGAGTGAACGTAAACGTCTACACAACTGTATAATGATGCTCTTGTGATGAGCGTAGTTTCAATGTTTCTTTACAAAATGCCAGATACTAAAATATCTTTAAAGTTTACAGTACACAGGTATTCTCCACAGCTGATGAGCCGAGCCTTCTCAGTCTCTTCGTTGCCCTTCCTTTTTGTCGCCTAGCGTAGTATCCCACTGTGCCAGGAGTGTCAACAACACGGCCCCGTGCCACCTCGGAGCCACTTACATGGCGAAATGAAAGTAGCTGTGCTCTCAAACGATAACGTTTACATAAAGCCGGAGCGGTTATTTATTTCCCCTCACTTTTCCAAATGTGTCTCACAAAAAATTCATACTTGTCATGCAAAATAAATCAGCGTTCTTTTCCAGAGCCGAGCCTCAAATGGCGGCAGAGTGAATAAGAGATGAGGCTTAAATGTTCGCAACCTCTTGCCTGACACGTCCCATCAGATCAGCAGAGTCACGCTTTGTGTGTGTGTGTGTGTGTGTGTGTATGTGGGGGGGGGACGCAAAATGAGAGCGAGCACACGTGTTGGCGTGCACGCGCAGGCAGAGGTGTGTTTATGTGTGAGAGCATCTGGGAGTGGAAGGTTGTTATACACTCTGCTGTGGGTGTAATGAGCCATGTACAGTATGTCGTTAGTGTACATTTAGTGTGGTGTCTTCAGAGTGTTGTTAGAGCATAACTGTACCACTTAGTACCCTACGATGCACGCCAGAGCTGTGCGCTGCCATCAACACAACATTACAGGTTTTATATCTGCTGTTTCAACAATACACACGTGAAGCTTCGTGTTTTTTTCTATTTATTTATTTTTGCTTTCAGCTTTTATCGTATTTTAATATAAAATTTACAAAATGAATACTAAACATTTTTGCAAAACTAAAAAAACAATGTTTGCTCTGTAAGAAGTTCCAGAAAAGGAATTCGTTCATTTTTATTTCATGATGTTTATGTTTAGGACAGCAGAGTCATCAGCTGCTCCTCACCTTCCAGCCAATCATAGGCCTGCCTGTTAACTGTGTTATTTGATTGTTTATGCTTTTTTTACTACATAGTGCATCTTTAACTGAGGAACATCTTTCTGATAGATATAATATTACATTGAATATAATGAAATCATAGTGTCAGTTTACTCTGAATGGGTTTTAGGTATTTTAGGCTTACAGTGTTAAAAGGAGCTATAAGAGCAATTAGTTCCCAAGTAATCGCTTGCTTAAAGAGGCAGAGGTGAAGGGATGAGGACTAGCAGAAAGTACAGATATCACTATTGTTGCGCCTCCTCAAGGGCGTAACAACAACACAACAACTCCAGAAACCCAGTACAAGTGTTATACGCTGAGACAAGTTTAATGGCAGCTTTCTCACAAAAGCAATGACCCAAATTCATAAAACAAATGTTGGGGAGAAAGGGACAGTTAGGTTGTGCCAAAAAAAACCCCCACAAAAAAGACAAAACCAAAACGTAGCTGAGCTCTTACCCCAGAAAAACAAGGAAGGAAAAAAGTCCACAACTCAAAACAAGCTCAAAAATGACATTGGTGGCACCAACATACTTACCTAAGAAAACATGCAGCCTGCAGACACGTGACACTATTGAACATACTAAATACATGTTTCACTCTTCTTGCGTTCTTTCTCTTCTCTTGAGCTTTCAAGCATGAACAGCCTGTTTAAGGTCACGCCGACGCATCACAGTGGAATTTAAGTCCAGATTTTGAAACCTTTTTATCATTATTGTTGTATAAATTGTAATTACCAACACAGTTTTTTATGATTTATGTTTCCACTAGAATGCCCAAGGTCTTCAACTGAAATATGGAATATTGAAATACTCAAATATAAAAAATGTAAAGAACTACTAAAGCACATTGTTATTTTTCTTTATAAACATGCAAAAATACAGTTATTTCCTTTATTTTTTTCTTGTTTTTTATGGCATGTGGTCTGATCATTTTTTAAACTGCATATACA